GAGGTGGTGGGTGGGTGGGCAATATTGCTCTTTTCCCCTCCATTCAACGCCCCCTCCTCCCCGGGCTACACCTATTCACTTGTCGCAGGTGCATGAAGGGCACCCAACCGAAATAGGTCCTACGTCTCAGCAATCCATTTTTATTTGTCTCTACTCTGTCGGTATGGCTTATTCCAAGCAATAAATGAGAGTGATCATGCCAATGTACTTTTATCTCAATCTGAAACTATTTCCCTTTTACCTATATGGGTAGGTTGCATCCCCACATCTTTTCGTTCTTCTTTTGTCCGTTGTTTTCCCCCCTCCCTCCAAATACAAAATTATGTAAAGGGCTTGAGAGAAGCAATCTAATTTTCCATTTCTCAAATACTGGTTTTCCTTATACCATGCATCAGAGGAAAACTGAGTAAACATGGCAAAATAGGAATACAATGAAACCTGTACAGAACGACCACCCAATGTCCAGAAGAAAAGTGATCAATTTAGAAAGGTAGCAATCTTAAATAGGTAGTCCTCTTCGACAGTGTCATTGTAATCTTTTTTTTTTCAATGCTTTGAGAAAATGTAAGTGGTCGCTGGTAAAAGTGATTGTCTTGGACAGGTGGTCGCTAGAGCAGCTTTGTCTGTACACTCAATCTAGAACTCCCGACTTTTTCGGATATGGCAAGTTTGAAAGAGGCGCGCCTTAAACTCACTTGATATCATGCTAAGCTGCCATACAATTAATTGACACTGGTTCGAACACCCAGTGGGGCGTTCTTGAATTAAGATTATTAGGAGGGTTTTCAAAATGCTATGCCTACTTGGCCTGACCTTAACGGAAATGGAGATTTAATTCAGAGGTACCACCTATCAAATAACCATGCAGCATTGTTCAGGATCGGAGGCAAAGTACAATAAACGGTAAATGAGACAGACATATCCATGCAGATACACTCGGTTTAATTTATATGGAAATGCAGAAGTGTGACTGTCTCGTTGGATCAAAGAGGAACCTTGAAAGCTTTAGAAGACATTCCTTAGTTTAAATTCTCTCCTTGCTTGTTAACTTAAAAAAGGACTAATCTGCTCAACCCCTCCCCCCACCCCTCCTCCTTTTTTCCAAACTACCATTTTTTTTTGGTCAGCACCCACTCCTAGCCCGTCTTAAGTTTGTTTAATTAATTCCATGTCTTTTTCTCTGCTTTGTTTTGATCTTATTTGTACGTGCTGGTGCTTGTGTTTGTGTGTGTGTGTGTGTGTGTGTGTGTGTGTGTGTGTGTGTGTGTGTGTGTGTTTGTGTAAGGTGGCGGAGGTTAAAGCGTTCTTGGGAAGAAAGGGGCGATATAATTTCCTCACCGACTTCACCACAATACCATAATGACCCTATCCACGTTGCTGAACTAACCATTAGTGGCCATACTGACATTCAAACCTCCGGTTCCATTGAGTTGAGGCTAGTGATCTTCATGTATTATGAATATTTACGTCTACCACTTGCCTCCAGTAAATCGAGTACCCCACTGTCTGAGCACAAATATGCCCAAACCGAAACTCCGCAGGAGTTCAAAAGACTCAGAATACCAAATTGCACGTTGTGTTAATATTTTTTAGGATTAAATCTTGACTGCAGAATAGTATCGTCAAGATCAAACGTATCAATGTCTTCCAGCACTAACAATAGTGATAGTAGATCTAGTCCACAATTAGACTAACATGGTTAGGTGGGTTAAGGTGGTGCTCTTTATCCCCCTCCCCTGCGCCACCCTTCTTCTTCTTCTTCTTCTTCTCTCTCTCTCACTCTCTCTCACTCTCTCTCTCTCTCTCTCTTTCTCTCTCT